CACCTATTCTCTCTACATACAATACAACATAGATTCTGTCTCAAGATTTATAGAACTGCTGGATATGATAAAACTGAAGATTCATCAAGGTAAAAATACAGGGCCAGCAAAGATCTATTCTCGCTTATCCTCCTCCAGATCTTCGGCAAGCACATTGTCGTATTCTCGCATGGCTGTCACATCTCCACTGACCTTCAAAGCACCACTTGTTAACGAGATGCCCTCCTCATCAAAATCGTCTCCTGCTTCCTCCAAGTATGCATATCTACATGTCCCAGACCAAAATAAGAACATTAATGAATGTTATCAACTTTTGCGAAGGCAATACAAAAAAATACCAAATTCATAGATGTCATTTGCATTTTGGATTCAAATCACCAAAAAGGTGTAACCGAGGGAAAAAAATCACCAGAAAGCAGAGAAAGAAATGCAGGTCCAAGAAGGGGTTTAGCAGAATCCCACTTTTCTTGTTTTGGTTACACGTGCGATTGAATTTCCACAAAATTTCGACAAGAGTATCATACCGTTTTATGCTTAAGATAAATAACACTTAATACACAAGATATTAGAGAGAAACAAAAGGTCTTCTATAACATAAAATTTATGCCAGTCAAGTCAAACAATGGAAACATGCATTAAGGAAATATATATAGATTTTTTTATATTTATAACTACATGCAGATATGACTGTTATGATACAAGACACCATGAACCTTTTAACAAGCAATGTCAAACAAAATACCTAGTTGGGTTACGTGAAGGAGCCCAAAGGATACATATCACCGCCAAGAGAGCATATGCAAGCAGAGTCCAGAATGCAGGAATAATCCAAGCAATTTGCCAATACTCACTCAGTGGATCCGTTGCATTGAAATATAGCTGAGTCAACAATATCCAGGGGAGATTCAATTAGTAGTTTTACTGGAGATAAGAATACGAATAAAGACACCACATAATCCAGTATAGTTCATTGTACCCCATGGAATTGTTAATTCACAATATACAACTTTGCATTGAGTAATACCTCAAAGCCAATCCAAGCAACCGAGAGAAGCACAAAAATTGCAAGATAGTTGGTAAATTTTCGGTATAGTTCCAATTTAGCCATGTTTCTCCTGATCTGCATGCAAAAGAAACAAGAGGAAGAAGGTCAAGAATTGGTCATTAATGTAACATCATATGCCCCCACCCTCCCAACCCCCCCTCCAACAAACAAACACACACTATAGATATAAGTAAATTACAGAAAGATATTAATGGGATGAACAATGTTACATGAAACAGAAGATACTAAATTAAAGCATTCATAAGATGAAGGTATAACAGAAGGCAAATAGAGAGAGCGAAAAGAAAAAAATAAAAAAAGATTACCTGAAGTTTCTCTAAAGTTTTTGATAACGATGAGAAAATCCATAGAATAAACCATGAATCTAAGAAGGCAACAGGTAGAACCAAAAACAACTTTGTTTTTCCAGAAAAATCATTAATGTTCCCCAAATGTTCAACAAGCTCAAGTGCTTCTGATGCCACGAAATACACCAGACCAAGAAGAAATACTTTTGGTGTTATACCACCCAGTGTAGGCTTCACGACACCAAAGCCCATGGAAACTACCAAAAGAAGAAGGCGAGAAAGAGTCTTCTTGACAGCGCTAAAGGTTACAGCCCATAATGTAATGCCCATAGGTCTGATTCCAGTTGAATTAAAATTGGCATACTCAAAGTACCACACAGCCATTTCACACATTCCTAGACCAATCACAGCTGTAATATGGTAGTGCAATTGTATAATATCCTTCCAAAACTGAACAAACCTCAGAAACCAGGCAAGGCCAAGCACAAGGTAAGCTAAAGACATAAAGCCATATAATGTCATCAAAGGAGCCATCTTCCCAGGCAAATAACCATCTGGGTTTCTCCAATCGGTCCTTCCTTTAATCAATGTGCCCTTGAGTTTCGGATCACAGAACATAAAATAAAGGTAGTACATTCCAGAACTATTGATATTAATTGACTTAGTATCCATTCTGGCCTCTTCATCCTTTCCATTAAAAAAGGTTTTGATGCGCACAGGCCAGTCAGGGTTGTCTAGATTTTTGTGGATAACAACCTCTCCCACCGTGCAGTATCCAGAATTCGAAAGATTTCTGGTGCAGCATATCTCTTCGGATTGGACGAAAGAAGCTCCAATCCGAACCCTGTCCTTCACTTCAAGAATGATAGCTTCCACCAAACCAGTATTCTGCTGCATTTCACTTTGCTTATTGGCGGACTCTTTAGTCCTCACAAAAGTGACACTCTCAAACCTGAAATTCCATTAGTGAGCGCGACATCGTCTATGGAGCCAAATCCATAGCAGGAAATCATGAAATAATTTTTTAAAAATCAATTGCACAACCATGATTATAACCCAGGTGATTAAAAATCTCAATTTACCAAATAATTCTTACATGTACAAACTAACTAACTAACTGCACATAATTCACTATCTTAAAGAAATTGGTATCTATGATTCTACAACTACCAGGTAGCATATAAAGTAACAAAATTTGCAACAAAGAGAGGATAAAAGGAAGTAATAGAAATTAGTGACCTGATGAAGGACTTGCCCTTGAGGTGATGATTGTCTGTGGACGAAGAATCAGCAGAACCATGGACCTTAGAAGCGTAGAGGCCCTCGCTCCCGCCATGGAAGAAGAAGGCGTTTGACTGAGGACTGAAAGCTTCGTTTCTGTACTCGTGGATTGAAGCATTACACTGTATGATGCACTCGTTGCATATAATGAAAATAACCCCAAATATGAACCCTAAAAGCGAGCCCTTTTCACACCACAACAATCTCTGTTCCATTTCTCTCACCTCCCCTCTTCCTCTAAAACTATCAGCGCAGTATTTTCTGAGATGGTAAAGTGAGCAAGAAACAGGCAAACAACTGAAAACGACACCGCACCTTACTGGTACCGGTACTGACTTTCGCCCAATCTAAATGGCTTCCTGTTGGGCCTTCTTTCCAACGCTATTCTCTTGAGATGGTTTTTGCATTTGGGTTCTCATACAACTTTGTAGGCATTGGGCTTTTTGCTGTCAAACTTTTGAAAAATAAAATAAAATAAGAGGTTATAAAGAGGGGTTTTTTTTAAAATTTATTTAGAGCATTTGTTTTTAGTCTTGACCTACTTAACTTGTTAAACTATATCCATAGTGGGCATCTAGCCATCTACTTTAGCTTGGCAAATCAGTTGAGTTTAATTAGGTCAACTTACAACAGCATGCCCATATAAATTATTAGGCGTATTGTGGATTACTCAAACCCCAGCCACACAAATTTACAATGTCCATCATACATAATACCAGCTGTTCCGAACCATCTTTCACAAATAGATTTTGCCACCTTCAAAACATTATTCATACCCTCTTCCATGCCTCCAATCTGAAGAGAATATGGAAGTGCTTGTTTATTTAGACACCATATTGGTCTCCTTGAGCCTCTTCCTTCTAATAAGTTACCACGCATATTTATGGCATACCTTCAAGACCAAGCCATCTCATACAACCATTGGAATTGACTCAATGAGAAGAAGAATATGGTTTCTAGAAATTATGGAGGTAAGTCCAAAACCCTCTTCATGATTTTCGAAATCCCACTTGAAAAAAAGAGAGCCTCAATTTGAGGTTTCTAGTCTTAATTAAATTAAATGATTTGCAGGGTGATGGTTTGAAGGCTATGCTGACAGTCCAAAGCTTGAGAAACACTCAAATGGTGGCAATATTCACAGCTTCAATAGCAATTGCCTTTAGCTTGGCCTTGGCTGCTCTGACCAACAATGCCTACAATGCAAGCCACCTCTTAATCGAAAGCCCCCTTTTCGGTTCACAGTCTGGAAGAATGTTTGCTCTCAAATATGGTTTTACCTCAGTTATCTTGCTGTTTAGTTCATTATGCAGCTCTATGGCCACCGTGTTCTTGATTGATACCATTTTTCTCATCAACGCTTCTGCTGAGTTCTCATCTTCTGCAATTACACAAACACTATTTGAAAGAGGATACATGTTGGCTCTCATAGGCCACAGGTTGCTCTGTATCTCATTTCCCCTTATGTCGTGGTTGTTTGGTCCAGTGCCTGTGGCATTGTCGTCCCTGGCCTTGGTATTGTGGCTCTTTGAGCTTGATTTTGTTGGGAAATTCAACAAAAGCAATAGGCAAAGTCTCAGTTGAGGAACAAGTTAAGAAAGCAATGCAGATGCATGTATATTTTTATAATTATAGTCAAAGTCTCAGTTGACTCGTCACCAGTTGTATACAATTACGTTCTTATCCCTCTCATCACGTGATTATATATAACCGTCACTAGTTTTATATAATTATGTTCATATCCATTTCACTCATCACGTGATTATATATAATCGTCACCAGTTATATATGTAATTAATATTCTTATCTCTCTAATCATGTAATTATACAACCGAATACACATTATCCTCTTAACCGACGCCCATAAGAAAGCTCACAGTAAATAGGTGGTCCAGAATCCTTGTGCAGTAATGTTAGTGCGCAATTGCTTTTGTTAGGTTTTAACTTAAGCAATTCTTTTGAAGTAGCCATACAAAAGCACCCAATTAGAAGTAGGCACACAACACAAGCTACACAACCATGGCTTCATGTGGCCGAAACATTACGAATTAAAAATCGAATCAAACTTTATAACGCAATCGTTGCATTCCCTTATACAATTTCCATGACAAAATTAATCCAATTAGAACATTTGTGGACTAGCCACTAGAACCAATGCTTAGTCTTTTGCATATTCCTCCAACCCCACATCAAAACTTTAATGTCCATTATACACATTCCACAACTCTGCCCACCAATTACGACACATTCACAAAAGGCATTTGCTTGTGACGAAAATTCCACTACCATTTGCTCTTCCTAGACTCATTTTACTGATTTGGGCTCTCTCATAAGTCACAATATATAGGATTGCTTTGGCTACAAATCCATCTCTGGTTCTCTAGGAATCAATCTTCAAAGAAATTGAGATGGGAGTGGTTGTTTATCTAGACACCATTTTGGTCCCCTTGAGCCTCTTTCTCACAGTAGGCTACCATGCCTATCTCTGGCACAACTTCAAGAACAAACCCTCTCACACCACAATTGGGATCAACATGTTGAAGAGGAGAGCATGGTTTCTAGAGCTAAATGGGGTAATTAAGCCCAACCATATCCATCTAATCAACCCTCTAAACACCATTATTATATTAAATGTATCTTAGATTACTTATTTTTGCTAATTTATATGATGTTGGTGGCTATGCAGGGAGATGACAAGAAAGGCATGCTGGCAGTCCAAAGCTTGAGAAACACTCTGATGGGCACAACACTCACAGCCTCCATAGCAATTCTTATTGAAGTCTCATTGGCAGCTCTCATAAACAACGGCTATAGCGCAACCCACCTCTTCAGCCATGCATTTTTTGGGTCACAATCTACAATGATTTTTGCTCTGAAATATGGCTCAGCAGCATTGTCCTTGGCAGTGAGCTTCTTGTGCAGCTCCATGGCAATTGGGTTTTTGATTGATGCCAATTTCTTGATAAATGCATCTGGTGATCATGAGTTCACGTCTTCTGGACACATAAGAACCATATTTGAGAAAGGCTTCATTCTGGCTCTCGTGAGCAGCAGAATGCTCTGCATCACTTTTCCCATGCTGCTGTGGATGCTTGGTCCTGTCCCAGTTTGGTTGTCATCTCTTGCTCTGGTTTGGGGGCTTTATGGGCTTGATTTTGTTGGGAAGTTGTCGAAAGGCAACAAGCAAAGTCTCAGTTGAAGACTGAGGAGAAAATATATACATAAATGTTTTTGTAGTGATTTTGATTTTTATGTTATGCTGCAAATATTTGGGACTTTAGTGTTTCCTGGTGCTCAGTTTGTATCTTTTTTGTGTTAATAATAGGCCATAATAAAATTACTATATTCTGATTCATTGCATGATTGCATCCATGGAAGTAGGACCTTATAATGGAACACTTTGCTTTATAGCCTTTATCCATGCACTGAGAAATCAAAGAAGAATGAGATCATCTGATCAAAAGAAAAAAGATAAAAAACGAGAATGACATCAATGGGCCATGTTTTGGGCCTTGGGCCACTTGTTGTTACTGATATTTCTTTTTGGGTAAAATGATTTGTGTCTTCTGTGATATTACCCCCTGAACTATTTGCATATTGTTAATTTAGTCTCTTAACAATTTTTTGGGTAAATTAAGGACTTGAATTTTGTTTAAATCGCCAATTAAGGGCCTACCGTCAATTTTTTCAAATTCCATCTAAATTTCCGTCTAAATTAAGGGTAAATATGCACCTCTTCCCTCCCTTGCCACTCGCATCTAAACCCACCCACCTCCACCCTGCTTTATGTTATCCTGCAAATATTTGGGACTTTATGTTATAATAAAATTACTATATTCTGATTCATTGCATGATTGCCTCCATGAGAATAGGACCTATAATTGAGTACAGGCTTTGAACACTTTGCTTTATAGCCTTTATCCATGCATTGAGAAATCAAAGAAGAATGACATCATCTTATCAACAAGAAAAAAAGAAAAAAATAAGAAGAATGACATCAATGGGCCCAACTGAAACTTCATTTTTGAGCCTTGGGCCGCTTGTTGTTATTGATATTATATTTTTCGTACATGATTTCATCTACTCCACAATTCTCTCTTCTTCTTTTTTCTATTTTTATGAGCAAAAGAAGATTAGAGAACAAAGCCTCTTACACACGCAGGCCCGAATAGATCAAAATAAAAAGGAGTTAAATACAACGAATAAGGGGAGACCATAGCTCTTGATTCATATAATCCTCCACAAAAAAAGGAGAAAAAACACATTTTCGTACACAATTTCATATAATCCCTGCTCTTGAGAAATTTTGTCATGGAAGAAAAAAAAATAAAAAATTGTTCACATCTTCTTGTCAGCGGAGAATATAAATTGCCTCCACTGAACTTTGTCTTATGCAATATGCACTACCATTTATATTCACCAGCTAATAGACAAGTGTTTTGTAATGAAATATATTCGATTAACGTCATTATATATTCCTACGATGAATCTGTCATAGAATTTTTATACCATATGTTATATTATAAAATTATCTTTAGTGACTTAAGTTTGATACATAATATAAAATTTTGTCCCCACGAGGGAAAATTCACAAGCCGCCCCCTTATCCTAGTAGTTTTAAACATAGGATAAGCCTAAAAAAAAAGTTTATTATGATACATTTATTTGGAGACCTAAAGATATTTCTTTTGTTCTAGCAGACTAAAATGAACAAGTTCAGTTAACAAACCAAGTTGCCAATCACTTTCTCATTAATGACAAAACATATATATATATATCATCCGATTTAATGTTTAATTCACTTTCTCATTAATGACAAAACATATATATATATATCATCCGAGTCTCCGACAACTTCTTCGAAATAGCTAGCTTATTTCTAGAGATCTACATAAGTAAATACATATATGAGAAAATTGATTTTGGTATTAAGAAACATCATGTAACCATAACCAAAAAAAGACACTAATAAAGTGTTTTACATGATTTTCTACACTAATAAAGCAACGATAGAATCATTCTCTTCAAAAATCAGAACACACGACTTTTTCCTACATCAAACTTTTGCAAGTACGTAGGTACTGATCATCTACCTCAACTCATATATTGCAGAAACTCATCATATGCGAAGTCATCATAATTAAACCACGCCATTTGCCTATAAATCGCATCCTCATCAAGCTCAGCAATATTGGCTGATGCAAACCCGCTCATGAGCCCAGGGGACGCGAATGCCGGAAGATCAGGAGGTGATACAAGATAATCACTCAATGATAATTGGTTGTGGTGCTGGGTTGTCATATAATCACTTGGCGTCGTCTCTTCCTTGAAACATTCTTCTTGTTTTAGCAATTTAAACGACGAGAAAAAGGGGTGCTCTTGTTTGCTTGAGAGGTTGGTGTCGTCAAATCTGATGAACTTTGAAGACTCTCTAGGGCTTGTACAATCCAAGACCAGCTCAGAAGCTTTCAAGTAGTCTCTGCATGTGTGGTTGCCATAATTTGTGGTCCGAAACAATGGTGGATCATCTTCAACTTGCTGTACGTGCTTGGTTGCTTGGCATGCTTGATCGAATTTGTGGGTGCACCTAAAGTAGTTCCTGCATTGCATGCTCACAACATATCCAATTAATTGAGATATTAACCAAGGTTGCAATATAAGTAAACAAAGTATATGATAATTTTCTGATAGGCAACATGGAGATATTTCTGAAGATATACATACAAAGTGGTAAACCCTAAAAGAGTTACAATAGAAAAGAAATCCTAATTACAATAAAACTATACCTACAAAGCGTAAGTAATTACACAAAATAAACAAAAATATTCTTGCCAACACCTATAAGTTGTAGAGAAATTGTATGTATGTACACGTACCTTGGGTGCTTGGCATTAAGGATGAGTTTTTGTCCGTACTTCCTCCATGCATGACCATCTTCAGTCAAAGCAGGAGAGTCTTTAATCCAAGAGTGACAAGTCTTCCTACAAGTAATTAACAACTTCCAACTCTTGGTTTAGAACTGGATTGATTACAAATTCATTGATCATTAATTTACTCCAAATTGATGAAATGAAGTAATAAAATTTAAAAATGAAAGAAGGAAAAAGGAAAGTATCTTTTTGAAGAGAATGAAATTGGGGAAAGACCCCAAAGAACAGCTAAAAAAGTTAGTTTTCATGGTTGTACTTGTAAAAAAAAAAATGAATGAAATTTGAAATTGGGGAAATCAAATTACTAAGAAAGACCTAATGCTTTTCATGCGTGTGTGGATGACTTGTAAAAAAAAAGTTCTCCAACAAAGATAGTTTACTTGCTCGACCCAATCTCATACTCTTTCTTCTTGACCTATTTTACTTTCATGATTCAAGCACTCTCGAAGAAGAAAGATTATTTCATGCATTAATTAACTCGATCATGTACCTCATTAAGACGTATATATTGAATACTTTTGACTTTGAACAATCAATCAATCATGCACGAAAGATATTACCTCTAATTAGAAACAAAAACAAAAAGTATAATCTTGCAGTGAGATCTATTTGCTCATATAATTACCATGAGTTGATGAATCTATGTAAATTATAGTAATGAAATAGTATAGTGCATGTAATTAATTGATTATATACCTTTTCTTGTAAGAGCCTCTGCGATCCTTGGAGGTCGAAGCACTCTTACAAGTCTCCTCATGAGAAGCTTCATACTTAATAGCATGATCAAGTAGATGATCAACATCCCAAGATGATGCACCTGCACCACTACCACCACCACCACCACTAGTATTCACTTGAATAATCAGCTCCTGATCATCATGATGATGAAACTCCTTCATCTCCTTCCCATTTGAGATGAAAAGGGTATTCGAAAATGACCCCAACATCTTATTAACAAAACCTTCATCATCGCCCGATCCCAAATCATGATTATGATCACCATTAACAGTAAGTGACCTATTATTATGAAGATTAATTACCCTACTAAGTTGACCACTGGCAACTTCACGACCTTGGATCAGCTCCTCCATCTCACTTTGCCGATTTGACGACACTCCCTTCGGCCAGGGACGGATCCAGAAATCTGCTCTCCGGGGGTCAACATATATAAGCTCACAATTTTTTACATATAGAAGACCCGTAGAAATGAATGAAAATGTAATACATACATGTTTTTATAAAAAAAAAATTATGAGGAACATGTTTATTAGATTGTTATATGCATATTTCGGAATTTTAAAAAAACCTGTCCAAAAGGCCATGATAATAAAATAAAAAAAAGTAAAGTGACCTGGTCCTAGACGGTGTCGTTTTGAGATGAAACTACAGCAAAGAGGAGGAAATGAAACACAGACCAAAGGGAATTTGAGATGAAAAAAATACATAAGAAAAAGTGGACCAGAAGCAGCAACGAAGGAACAAAAGGGCATAAAGAATAAATAAAAAAGGAAGTGGGACACATCATGCATGCGCGTGTCTTCAGCTGTGGGAATAAAAAAGAAGAAAAGCTTTTGATTGGACCAGCAGACAAAGAACCATATAATATAACATAGACATAGGCTTTTAAATACATAATATATATAGGACGACGTCGTTTTGACTTCGAGGGAAAAAAGAAACAAGGAAGCGCAAGCAGTGCTGCGTGCTGGAGGATGCTGCGCGCTGGGTAGGAGCAGCGCTGCGCGCTCTATGGGGACTTTCGTCGAGCAGTTTGCAGGGGTCAATTTTCTCCCCTCTAATGGCAGATCCCAGAGTTGCAGGGGTCACTTGACCACCTTTGCTCCTCTGTGGATCCGTCCCTGCCTCCGGCCAAAGACCACTCCAAGTTTTTTTTAATTTTTGTTTATTTATTTCTATTTTTAAGTTTTGGTCGATATCACAAATTTATGATAAATTTTGGTGATGGATCGGGAGACCATTTTATATGCGTCAAAGAGACACAATCAGCACGATTGACGTCTCTCTTGGATGAACGGACGGATGGCCGTCCACGTCATACGACATATCGTCTCATGTCATGCCTGAGGTCACTGTTGTGTCGTCATCGACTCGTTGCTGCCTGGTGTACTGACCTTCTGGACATTTTATTTGTTTATTTATTTATTTTGCTAATTTTGGGAAACCAACAATTTTTTAAAAAAAATCTAAAGTTGTTGTGCCAATGGGACATCCAATAAGATATCCAAAATTTAAAGTCATATTTTATCTTTTTTTTTCCTTTCTATGGTTGAAATTTAACTCGTTTCAGATGCAAAGCTTTCAAAGTTTCAACACTTTCCCCCACTGAGAAATTAAAAAGAAGAAATGGGTCTTTTTTGGGGTTTGGGATTTGTCAACAACTTTAGACGGGAGC